TGTTGTTGTTTCTTATCCCCCTTGTGTAAAGATTACACAAATTCCATGAGTTCATGCTCCTCGAGCTGTTTTATGATAAGCAGCAGCCTATTCCAAAGGTCCTGTTTAGTACATCTAATACAAGCCAAAATGTGTTCTGGAGCTGCAGGTGCCAAGCTACATTTTGGGTCAAGTGGGGTAGATTTTGTTTTCTATCTTCAATGGCTTGAGATAGAAACTTTTAGCTACACGATCAGGCAATGTCATTTTATTAATTTACCCTCGGTAGACTGAAATATTTACCTTGATTACAATCAAAGGCTATCGCGCAAAACCCATGGGTGATGGAAAATTTCTGATTATATTTTTGAGTTCATCATGAAAAGTTACACTAGAAACACCATCAGGTTCTCTTGGGCAAAAATGTTGTTGACCAGTGTTATTAGAAGCTATGTAACAATGTATTTATTAATTTTATTATTTTTATCAATAGAATGGTCATTTTTATGTTTATATTTTGCTACTCTGTAAATTTCCCTCATGGCTTATCTTTTGTTTACCATTCATAGTTTGTTCTTGCCTGAAATAAATGGTTGTCTACTCCTGAAGTTTTTGTCTTCCCTAATTTTCCACGTGGCATTTTGGTGGAGATGTTGGGTAAATTAGAGAAGACAAACTGAAGATCGCCGAGAAGACCTTGAAGCCATGGGTGCTGTGATCTACATTTTCGGAGACTGACTCCAGGATTCCACCGCCGTGCTAAAGCCAAGACTTCCCTCCAAGATGACAATGTCCCTATAGACGATACGACGACAAAGCCGCTCTTCACGCCGCAAGGAAAAGGACGCAAAGGTACTAGAGACAAAGTTCCAAGATTTCGATGGAATCCTTGGCAGAAACACGTCAGATCTATGTCAGTAACTACAATAATTGCTAGCTGTGGGTCACAGCTCCCATAGGGAAGAAGCTATGTAACAAAGTATTCATTAATTTTATTATTTTTATCAACAGAATGGTCATTTTTATGTTTATATTTTGCTACTCTGTAAATTTCCCTCGTGGCTTATCTTTTGTTTACCATTCATAGTTTGTCCTTGCCTGAAATAAATTGTTGTCTCCTCCTGAAGTTTTTGGCTTCCCTAATTTTCCACGTGGCAATATTATTTGGATATTTTCCAACTCCCCACCAATGACCCACACACGATAGATGACAACAAGAGTTTATAACGGGGGCGGGGGGAGGAAGTATCAGGGGGGTTAACAGCTGTGTTGCCAGGCACGAGAGACATTTCCGGCCTGCCACGTGGCGTTGCTATTTCTGCCTCACTCCCCTTTCTCCCTGGGTGGGGGGACATCGGTGCCCTTGACTCCTTGTGTATCCTCTCAGTTTTATATGGAGACCATTTAAACGATTTTTATTGATTCTTCCCATCTCTATTGTTATCTCTATTGTATTGTTACAGAAACAAAAAGATAAAGGAATAAATAAAGGGTAGATAAAATGTGTAGATGAATATATATAGTTGTATTTCAAATGTCGTTTTACAATCACAAGCCGCACTATATTGTATTGTATTATATGTTACTTTATGTATTACTAGCGGATGTACCCGGCTTCGCCCGGGTTTTACCCGAGTAAAGGTTTGTCTAGCGAACATTTGTTAAAACAATTCTCTATAAACTTATAAAAAAAAAGAAGATATATTTTGATAATTTGAAACTCGTAAATTTGTATCTCTCGATAAAGTGAACATTTTTTCCCGGTCCCTGTGTGCCGTGTCATCCTGAATTTTATCTTTCCTAAATTTCTACATTAGAAAATCATCGTTTTATCTAGTGAACATTTTTTCCTGGTCCCTTGAAAAATACTCGATAAGTTGAATAAAATCAATACTAATTGGTTCCCTCGGTAATTGAAAGTTAAAGGAATAGTATCTTGCCCTGGAATTGTATTATTATTCTTGTCTCTCAAATAAATTGCCGTGTCATCCTGAATTTTGTCTTTCCTAATTTTCTACATTATAAAATCATCATTTTATCTATTCTCCCAACATATATGTTGTAGATAAATGATAAAACTAACTTTTACTTTTGATAAATAATCTTTAAGATAATAAACTTAGTGATAATAAAACTTATAGATAAAAAAACTTGTTATCATCGTCGCAATCGTGGCGCTGCTTGCGAGTTAAATCTACAAATCTGAAAATAACTCTAAGGATATTCAAGATATTCAAGAAATTATTTTTCAGAAACCTTCCCAGTACTATACTAAATAACTTCCCAAAGTTTCATGGCGTTACAATGAGTGGTTTGGTCAGGCATAAAGGACAGGCACACACACACATACATTCATTTATATACAGTGCGGCAAATAATTTTTAAGACTCGCGCTAGATAAAGGCCAATAGAAGAGCCAGTTATGAAATTGCGCATGCGTATATATATTCGAAGCCTTATCTAGCGCGTGGCTTTGTTTCAGCCATTTTGGTTAACTCTTTAAAAACATACAGGCGATTTTTGAAAAGTAAAATTTTTTGTTCGTCGGAATTCTGAGATGGAACAGAGAGCGGTCATTAAATTTAATGCAAAACTTGGTAGAAGTGCATCGGAAACACATTTTGATGAAGCAAGTTTATGGTACGTTATGTTTGAGTAAATCAAATGTTTTCATTTGGCACAAACGTTTTTCGGATGGAAGAAATACGCTAGAAGATGATAAGCATACTGGACGACCAAGTACTTCAAAGACACCAGAAAGTATAGAAAAAGTGCGAGAATTTGTTGAAAACAATGATGGCAGAGGTTTTACACATCAACAAAGAAACGATTCGAACCATTCTGCATGAAGATTTATGGTAAAACTAAAGTCTGTACTAAATTTGTTCCACACACTTTAACGAGCGAGCAGAAATCAGTGTGAATTGCACATTGCAGGGACATCATTTCTGCCTATGAAAATAATTCAAACTTCCTGAAATCAATTGTTACGGGTGATGAAACATGGTGTTTTCAGTATGACCCAAAGACAAAGCGCCAAAGTGCCGAATAGAAGTCAAAAACTCTCCACAAGCCAAAAAAAACGCGAAAAGTGCCATCAAAAATCAAAACAATGCTGATTACCTTTTTCGATAGTAGAGGTATTATCCACAAAGAATTTGTTCCCGCTGGACAAACCATTACTGGAGAGTATTATTTAAACGTTTTGAAACGTTGATTGCTAGAAATCGTCGCATTCGTGCAGAATATCGCGATGAAGACAGTTGGTGTTTGCTGCATGATAATGCACCGAGTCACTCATCACTCACTGTTCGTCGCTTTTTGGCCAAAAATAACGTCTGTGTGTTGAATCATCCTCCGTACTCGCCTGATTTAGCACAATGTGACTTTTATTTATTCCCAAAAATAAAATTGAAGTTAAAGGGTTGCTTTTTTATGATATCCCGACCATCCAGACAGCTGCGACGAGCACTTTGGAGGCAATTCCTCAAAGTGGCCTGCAAGAGGCATTTAATTCCTTATTAAATCGTTGTAACATATGTATTGAATCCGGAGGGGATTATTTTGAATAAAAAAATAGTAGAAATTGAATTAGCTTGTTTCTGTTTTATTTTACAAACCCATTCTTAAAAATTATTTGCCACACTGTATATATATATAGATTTACGAACGGAAAAATATGTCCAGGGTAGCCTAGTGGACATGGCATCTGCCCGGTAAGCGGAACACTGTGGGTTCGTTTCCCATCCCTGCACACTTTTATTTTTCCGTTAATCATTACTCTTCACAATTCACCCTTTCATACCTCATCCCAAAGGTTAGAAATAATCGTTATTTCTCCTTGAAATAAATTTTGATTTTTCGTTGAAAAGAAACACATGCGGGATAGTATTTCAAATGTCGTTTTACAATCACAAGCCGAATTATATTATATTGTATTATATGTTAACACAAAGCAATAACGCGCCATCTATATATATAAAATGAAAGGATTTAAAAACACGAATGTTTCTTATATACATAATAAAAACTTCTACTATCCTTACTGCGATGAAAAAAATATATTGGGAGGGCTTGGCTCATCAGTAATGAACCCTCCCAGTGGTTTCGCCAATTTATATCATTTTCGTCCAATACAGTATTAGAGCTCTGAGAAGCGGTCTGGTGGATTAAATTGGCGAAACCGCTGGGAGGGTTCACCACTGATGAGCCAAGCCCTCCCAATATATTTTTTTCATCGCAGTAAGGACAGTAGAAGTTTGTATTATGTATAAAATAAACATTCGTGCTTTTAAATCCTTTCATTTTGGTTATATATGTACAAATGTCTTCAGTAAGGGAGGTTTCCCCACCTTGAGAGAGTTCTCCTCCAGACAAGGTCTTCGCTCCTCAGTTCCACACCGAGGAAGTAATTATAGATGCCCAGGATGGTGTCATTTTCCAGCCAGAAGACCCAGTAGCTCTGAAGGTCACGGGGGATAATGGTGAAGACTTCCCAAGGCCTGATGGCAGGACCAGTACCGGTGGACAGATCGTTGTACCCACAAACGACGCAGGACTGTTGGAATTCTGTTATAAATACAGTTAAACCTGTCTATAGCGCCCCCCTCTTGGGACTCACCAAAATAGGGTGCTATAGAGAGGGGGTGCTATAGACAGGTCACTTTTAATGTAAATCGCATCGTACTACGTACAGTTAAACCTGTCTATAGCGCCCCCTCTTGGGACTCACCAAAATAAGGTGCTATAGAGAGGGGGTACTATAGACAGGTCACTTTTAATGTAAATCGCATCGTACTACGTACAGTTAAACCTGTCTATAGCGCCCCCTCTTGGGACTCACCAAAATAGGATGCTATAGAGAGGGGGTACTATAGACAGGTCACTTTTAATGTAAATCGCATCGTACTACGTACAGTTAAACCTGTCTATAGCGCCCCCTCTTGGGACTCACCAAAATAAGGTGCTATAGAGAGGGGGTACTATAGACAGGTCACTTTTAATGTAAATCGCATCGTACTACGTACAGTTAAACCTGTCTATAGCGCCCCCTCTTGGGACTCACCAAAATAGGATGCTATAGAGAGGGGGGTACTATAGACAGGTCACTTTTAATGTAAATCGCATCGTACTACGTACAGTTAAACCTGTCTATAGCGCCCCCTCTTGGGACTCACCAAAATAAGGTGCTATAGAGAGGGGGTGTTATAGACAGGTCACTTTTAATGTAAATCGCATCGTACTACATACAGTTAAACCTGTCTATAGCGCCCCCTCTTGGGACTCACCAAAATAAGGTGCTATAGAGAGGGGGGTGCTATAGACAGGTCACTTTTAATGTAAAATGTTCACATTTTAATGTTTAAAATCGGGCGCTATAGAGAGGAAGTAGCTATTTAGAGGGGGCGCTATAGAGAGGTTTAACTGTATACATTTATCCTTTAGTACAATATATTATCTCTTCCAATCAATGCAACATGGCCTGGCTGACCAGCACTTCTCCAATTACGATGAAGTCAAGAAATACACATAAAATAAAAGGACTTAAAAGCGCGAATGTTTCTTTTATACATAAAACGAACTTCTACTGTCCTTACTGCAATGAAAAAATATATTGGGAGGGCTTGGCTCATCAGTGGTGAACCCTCCCAGCGGTTTCGCCAATTTAATCCACCAGACCGCTTCTCAGAGCTCTAATACTGTATTGGATCATTCTGCTTTTATATGCTACACTGAAGGATGGAATCTAAGAAATGGTTTTCAAGTAAACTATGGACATAAGCTTATAGGACAGTAGAATTACATTCAAATATTTGCTTCGAGCAATGCTCTTCAGCAAACTATAAAGACAAGGCCATTAGGAATAAATTAACACAAAGCAATAACGCGCCATCTATACACATAAAATAAAAAGACTTAAAAGCGCGAATGTTTCTTTTATACATAAAACGAACTTCTACTGTCCTTACTACAGTAGAACAGTAGAAGTTCGTTTTATGTATAAAAGAAACATTCGCGCTTTTAAGTCCTTTTATTTTATGTGTATAGATGGCGCGTTATTGCTTTGTGTTGAAGTCAAGAAATGGATCGATGAATGGATAGCGGCCAAAGAGCTGATCTTTTTCCACGATGGGATCCGTCATTTGCCAGAAAGATGGCGAAATGTAATGGCTAGCGATGGAAAATATTTTGAACATTGAATGTCTAACCAATTTTTCACAATAAAGCTGATGGAATTCTTGTTTCAAAAGAACAATAAATGGCCGATTTATCAGCGAAAATAGAAAATTACACTGTCAATCAAAGTTTGCCAGGCAACAAGGATAGTCGCAAAGAAGCCACTCTTCCTGATGGACAAAAAAATCAACAAGTATGTAAATTGGGCCGAGCATATGCAACCCTCGAAAAATGGATGCCATCTGGAAGGTTGACAAAAAAGTTACTATTTACGGGCTAACACAAAAGTTGCAAATTACTAGGGCCTAAAGTAAAAGTAACTAAACACACAAAAAACGTACACTCAAGAGCACAACAACAACAAAAAAGGTAAATAATAAATCACAATTTGTTAAATAAAATAAAAAGAAACACACACACACACAGTACTTACCTTTATTGTTGCGTTTGTAGGGATCGGACCGGGGTTACACAGGTATGCGAAGAGATAGCCAGACACGGATATAGCACGCAGAGAACACTTTAAGCGTCTCCACACGATAATCCACCACACTCCTCTGGCAATACCATAGTCCCCTTATATATACCAACATGGCCACATTGGTCCAATGAGAAGGCGGGAGAGATTGGTTCACAAGCAGACGAAAACAAAATTCTTTCCACTAAAACCTGAGATAAGATAAGAGTGCAAATATTTGTCAATGTAATTTGACAAGGCTTTCCAGAGTCCAAGAGTTTCAAGAAGAAAGTTAATGACCTTCCAAACAGTAACCAACCTGACAACAGCAACCAACCTGCCAAACTTCCAAAAGCTGTGAAAAGTCCACCAAGGCCGGCACCTCTAGTGTCGAGGAAGGCAGATGCGGATACAAGAAGTCGCACCAACAGGCAGCAACAAGCTCAGTGCAATGGTCAGTAGGATGCTTCCACATTCGACCAGTGCTGCTTCATCGAACACCGCACGGGCCCATAGAATATGTCAAAGCCTTGGAAGCGCTGTTGATAAATGCTCGGCTTTCGAGCTTATGAAAATGCCCGGGAAAATAATGGTGGGACTTGCAAGTGTCGAGAAGGCTGATCTCCTGAGATCCTAACCATCGGCACATCTTGCTGAAGACGTATCCTTATAGGAAGAAGGCAGAGAATTACACCATCGAGAACCTGCCCTTCGTCTGTCAAATAATATTGACAAACATTTTCAGCTTTTTTCTTATCAGTTTTTAGCGGGAAGAATGTTGTTTGTTAGTGAACCAATCTCTCACGTCATTGGACCAATGTGGCCATGTCTGTATATAAGAGGGTACTAAGGGAATACGAGGGGGAGCCCAGAGCGTAGAGAATTGGTGTGGAGACGCTTAATGTGTTTTCTACGTGGTTTTTCCGTGACTAGGAATCTCTTCGCATCCCGGTGTGACCCGAGTCCGATCCCTACCAACGCTACAATAAAGATAAGTACTGTTTTATTTTTATTTTACCAATCGCGAGTTTCACTGACTTCCTTCTTGTTGTTGGTGTTGTACTCTTGAGTGTACGCTTTTCTGTGTATTAAGTTACATTTACTTTAGGCCATATAAATTTTGCTTTTTGTGTGATAACCACTATATGGAATTTTTGTCACGTCCTCAGCTAGGTGGATGTCGCAGAAGCCTTGAAGCCATACTGCAGAGTGGTATCCATCACTCATTCACTAAGGACGATAAACGGCTATTTCTAGACCGGAGGGAGGACTTTGTATTTCTTAATCGAAAGCCTAAAGATTCATTAAATTTCTTAAAGAATCGACACCAAATCCAAAGAAATGGTCACTCCCGTATACATGACGTATAACGTGAAGTACTCTAAGTGTAAGTGCCAGGGACATCGGGGAGCTGACAGATCTCAACATACCATTGAGGAACGGTAGAGATAACAACCTGTTTTGTGGAAGCATGCAGATGATATCGTCTTCGTGCAAGAGACAAATGTGCTGGCTCAGAACAACATCCTTTGTCTTGTCTACAGCGCCGTCTTCACTCCAACGTCGACTCCCAGGGAATCCGGGCTCGCTGACGTCGTAGCGCCGGGAGATACAGTCCTCTGGTACCGCGTCCTGTGGCCAGGCTAGATCGCCAGCATCAACATCAGGGCGTCGAGACCCGCCTCATCAACTGTCACCTGTCCCACACTCCTGAAGAACGGAATCTCCAACTGCAGTTCATCGCAGAGGAAGCCATCAAAGATGTGTGTGCCCTCGGAGACTTCAAAATTTCCGAGGAGTCCTCGAGCGACATCAGGTCTTCGTGGAGCATCTGGATCGGACAGCCACCATCTTTGATTCAGCGTACTTGCCTACGAGGGTTACCAATTAAAGAAGCCGGGTAGACGCCTCCCGTCTGGATCGAGTTCTAATATCATCAAGATTCTCCGGACGCGTCACCAGTTGCTGGACCCTCAAATATTGCTGTTCGGACCACCGGGCAATTTTTTTCACCATCTGCGCAATCCATCGCCGCGCTGCTTCGATCAGCGCCATTCATCGAGAGAGCTGAGGCGTTTCTCGGCGAAGTCCCACTGAAGATCGTAGATATCCCTCCTGGAGA